CTAAAACTTGAACTTTGGGACTATATTTAGCCAGTGTGAGGGCTACGGAGAGTTTCCTATATTTTCCGAGAACTATTTTCTCTTAAAATTTCCCCGAAGGCAAGGGCAATGTTTACACTGTTTACCCACCAGAGGGCTAAATTAAACCGCGGGGCTAGCAGACGAAAAACCGACGCCAGCCTCTAAACAGCTGAGAGAAATCTCGCCAGTTCTCCATCTTTTTAGAGTACGTCTTTCAAGATACTTTAGACACCAAAGTTATTATTTGCCGGTCCGGTAGATTTAAGTGTTCCTTTAGGAGGAGAAAAGTTTTGTAAGTATCAATTATTAATCTTCCGTCTACACGATACGTCTTTAACTAAGTTGAACGAGCAAACGTGTAACCTGTGTGTCTGTGTGGGACCCGGGTGCTCTGGTGTGGTTTGCTTCTTCTTTCTACCAAACGTCCATTATCGTCCTGATCTCTCCTCCTTCTTGTTTGAGGTTGTTACTCTCTTGTAACGCCTCTAATCTTCGGCATTCATATGACGTTATTGTGTTGCAAGTGCCGTAAAACACTTATTAAAATAAAAAAAACCCTCAACAAACAGGTAAGTTTAACGTGTAACCTAATTGTGACTGTGTGTGATAGCTAAATGAGGGTATGCCGCCAGCAGTAGGGCCACATGCTTTGTTGTAGCTTTGTTGTAAAAACTTTTGTTGATCATCACCAGCCTATGTATGGTCGCTTTTAATTTAATCAAACAAAAGGGGGCTAATCAGAAAAATGCTGTTCTGAGAAAATTAAAGGTAAAGTTTTTGAACCCTTGTTCAGTTTCTTTAAAAGACAGGGAGAGTTTTATATATACACCAAGTCGGGATTTGGTGAAAAAAAAAATCGGGATCGACGACAAATCACCCAGGTCAGTGAAAAGCTCTAAAGAAATTGCGAGGGTGTTCAAAGATACACGACAGTGCGCGCGCGCGTGTGTTATCATGTTATTCTTAAAAAATCCTGAAATATCACGTCAAGGACTCAATAAGTTCAAGTGTCTAACAACCCCCCCCCCCCCCCCTCCCCATCCGCGAGTCTCCAAAGACGTCCCAACCAGTGTGCATGAACTTTAGTTGACCCCACTGACCTGGAAAGATGACGGACGGTCCCCGACACCCGCGAAACTCACACGCAGAGGTCATTCCACGTGATGCGAAAACACGCCAGTTTCTCATTCACTCATACCTAGGCCTTGTTAGGCCTAGACCAATTGGAGGTTACAGTGTGGTCCTTGGCCTTGACTCGAACTCATAGCATGGAAGAGGAAGTCACCTTCTCTGCCCCCCCCCCCCCCCCCCTCCTCTGGGCTCCTGACACGTGACTCTTTCTGCAGTCTGTTTACTGCTACTCCATGGCTCATTCTTACTGCTGTCTTTCAGCCATACCCCTAATCTTCTGGTAGGTGAAAGATCTACACCTAGCCTTCTCGGACAAGACCGAAAAGTCTTGGAGGTCTCGTGTACAAGTTGCGCACGTTAAAGACCCCTTGGTGGTGTAAATTTGATAAATGTAGGCATCGGGCGCCACCCCGGCAAATTGAAAATTTCCTAGCGACTGAAAATGTTTAATCTGTCCCGCGCACTCATAATACTCATACTCATACTCATAATTATGGCCCTATGCAGTTGGAGCGCCGTACGTTTAACATTTACAAAAAAAAAAAAGAAAAAAAGAAAGAGAAAAAAAAGGTCAAGTCAGACACTAACCAACCACCCCAGTACAGTTGGTGCCGACACAAAGAGGTGTGAAGTTCCAGTCTGTTCGTGCTCTTTTTTTTTTTTTACCAATCCTTAACAGTAACTGATCCCGCACCCTATTATTTCTACTAGACTACTGACTTGATCATGGTCTCTTTAAGTGAGCTATAAAGGCATCAAAATTTGTCAAAACAATTTTCTTCTTGTGGGTGATTGGCGGGTGCTCTGGTGTGGTTTGCTTCTTCGTTCCTATCAAACATCTATCGTCCTTATCTCTTCTTCTTCTTTTTTGTGTATATTACTCTCTTGTAACACCTCTAATATTCTGGCGCTCATATGACCTTATGCAGTTGCGAGCGCAGTAAAACTCGTACTAAAACTTTAAAAAATCTTCTTCTTGCATTTCTTTCCTCATTCTGTTTGCGCTGATGATAATAAAGAAGGGAAAAAAAAAAAGAAAGAAAAAAGGAGAATACAAATAAAAAAAAGAAAAGGAGAAGGAATGAAGGAATGATGTAATATTTTTTGCACTGACTCGATACAATGGTCGATTAATGGAGACAAGATCAGGGTCTTTGTGAACCTTTTGTCATTTCCGTTAAATTTTGTTGGTGTCTGTGTCTCTCCATCAGTGTGAAATATACAGTGGTCTCCACCAAACTTCTAAGTCGGACTAAGAATATACGGTAGTCAACGCCTAACTTCTAAGAACGCGTAAGAATCCATTTGGTCTAAGAATATATGGTAGTCTCCGCATAACTTAAAAAAATACTCCATGTAAGAATGCAGTCGCTTCTAAAAACATACAGTGGTCTTCGTCTAACTTTTAACAACGCTCTATGTAAGAATCCATTCCGTCTAAGAATATATATAGTAGTCTCTGCCCAACTTCTAAGAACGCTCCAAGTAAGAATTCATTCCGTCTAAGAATATACGGTAGTAAGTCTTCACCTAACTTTTTAGAACGCTCCATGTAAGAACCCATTCCGTCTCAGAATATACGGTAGTCTCTGCCTAACTTTAAAGAATGCTCCATGTAAGAACCTAGTTTATCTAATAATATACGGTTGTCTCGGCATAACTTAAAAAAATGCTCCATGTAAGAATCCATTCCGTCAAAGAATATACGGTAGTCTCAGGGCTGCCATCAGTTCTGTTTTTTTTCGTAATCATTACGATTTTTTAACCTCTCTGCGAAATTCCGATGGTAAGGCGATTTATTATGATTTTTACCGTCAGCAGATTTTTAGCTATAAAAAAGTATTTTTGGTTCTTTTTTTATTTTACAAGTCTTAGTGCAGACCTGTAAATCGTCAGCCAATAGTCGGAAAACTGCCAATCTCTAAATCAACCCCCTCCCCCCCCCCCTAAAAAAGGAATGGCTGGCCCACGTCGCATGAGTTAACCTTGCCCACAATAATACCGTACACGAGTAGAAGCATTGTTCGTTGTAATATAGTAATTTGGAAATGAGAGCACTATTGCGAATTTTTGTGGGAAATTACTAATTTTCTTCATGTTCATTACTAAGAACCATGGAGATGTTTTGGCAGCCCTGTAGTCTCTGCATAACTTTTAAGAACACTCCATGTTAAAACCCATTCCGTCTAAGAACATACGGTAGTCTCCGCATAACTTTTAAGAATGCTCCACGTAAGAACGCAGTCGCGTCAAATAATATACAGTTTTCTTCGTCTAACATTTAAGAACGCGTAAGAATCCATTCCGTCTAAGAATATACGGTAGTCTCCGCCTAACTTCTAAGAACGCTCAATGTAAGAATCCAGTACAAATAATATACAGTGGTCTTCACCTAACTTCTAAGAACGCTCCAAGTAAGAATCCAGTACATGAAAGAATGTGTAAGAGCTGCTCTAAAAATTAAACACTGGCCCAAAAATACAGTCTGAGCATGTGCAAGTATTTTTGAAAGTTTTAGTGCTGCTTGTCCATACTTTGGGCAGTTTGGGGTGAAGGGGGAGGGGTATGGGTGGTTGGAGGATGCTCTGGTGGGGTCTGCTACTTTTTTCCCTGAAACATTGTCCTCATCTCTTCCTTCTTTTTTTTGTTGTTGTTGTGTTTATTACTCTCTTGTAACACCTAATTATGGGGGTCTCATGGTCTAGAGGTATGGTGATCATCTCTTTCTTATTCAGTAGATCCTGGGTCGAATCCTGACAGCGACGGAAAATCATATGTATATGAGGCTTCACGAATATATGAAATGCTGAAACCAAGAGAGAAGCCCGCAAGCTGTGCGCATCCACAATGTTAAAAAAATGTTCAAAATGTGGCAAACTTTTCTCTGCCAGAATTGGTCTCATCAGCTACAGCATAAGCCATAAATCATCTAAACCTTTAATTCTTCAAATTCTTCTATTTCGCCGGAGAAATGTTCTTCTTTGTGGATGTATTGGTCGTCGTTACACGTTGAAGGGCGAGCTATTATATGTGTTACGGTGCATTGGAATCGAGTGCTCGTCAATTTTTGGGCATATAGAGTTATTGGTATCATCTTAAAGGATTTTCATTCGCCTTGCTTTCGATGGAAATCCATTTATCTTGAATAGAAGTCCAGATATTTGCGATTAAATGAGGTGGGGACGCCTGGTTTCAGAAGTATAGTTAGCGAGAAAATGGCCAATAATGTTTGGTGACTTCCATTGGTAAAGAGTCCTTGGAAACTGCCAATGACATTTTTAGTGCCTTTTATCAACGGTTTTCCTTAAAATCCACACATTAAAGTGTTTTTGAATGGACATGCAAGGTGCTGAGCCAAAAGACAAAAATAAAAAAGCCCCGCATAAGCTGGCCGAAAAATGCCGATTTCTCGGATTTAATTATTTTGTTGAGCGCCTGATTTCACCATGATGCCTCACATAAGCTTTCTCCATTACTCTATTGGGGGCTCCGGCTAAGTAAGTAGTGAGTTTAGACTCAAATAATGTCAAGCAAGTGTCTGTGACACGAGGATCAGATGGATGGTCACAAGTCACAAGACACGACAACCCCAGCTGAAAATACAAGGCGCTGCACAGTGGCGACCGACAGTGGCATTGTTGTAAACTTTTCTGTATTTATGTAATATTGTGTATTTATGTATGTATTTATGCATGTATTTATGTATGTACGTGTTTACAATTATGTAGGCCCTATT